CTGTAAGAGGAAGGAGTTTAAGAACTTCAAAGAAACTTGTGTTCATCTCTCAGCTGCCAACCTACCTGCTGCAGGACCTTGGGCAGGCTGCTCATTTTCTCTAAAACATGGCTTTTTCATCTGTGAAATTTGGCTACTCATGCCTACTCATGGGTTATTACATGTCAGATGCCTCACACCTAGTTCTCCATGTGTGGTTAGTGATGTTTGAGCTGTAGATGTCACTGGTGATATAGGTGGTAGTTGTTTTTTTTTTCCTTGCTGTTAATACTTCTTAGTAGCCACAAAAAGAGCCATGGCCTATTTTTAAGGCCTAAGATCCATCATAATGCCCTGACTAGAAAAACGAATTGACACAAATTTGCAATGAACACATAATCTTGGGAGAAAAAATAAATCTGACTGCCACGTTTTGACTCATATAAAATAATAGTTCAAAAGATGAGCAACATAAACCTAGGTAGGCCCTCGAGCCAAAGGAAACATTTCAGCCACTTCATGGTATTCCTGACTGGATCCCAGGACTCAAATTACATTCACAGTGGGAAGTGGGATGCATTCAATGGCCAAGGTTTGAAATTGAAATCTTTCCCTTCCTAATTATGTGATGTTGGGAAAAGTTACCAGGTAGTTTTTGCCTTCCCATGCTCCAGTGTATCCCTTCCATGCCTGGTGAAACTGAACTGCTTGAATTTGATCAAACACCAAGCTATCTCTTAACGGAAAATTAGCCTCAACTTACAAGGTCAGTTAACCCCATGCAGAAAAACAGCAGACATCTGCCTGAACACAAAGACAAGGCTTGGTTTGTGGATTTAAAAATCAAAAGATCCACCTCACCATTAGAGGTAGCACTTGAACACAAAGTCATATGCTTTCACCAGTAGCACATCTATGAGGCAGCAACTTGGTCAAGCTCAGTCTTGAACTGCTTACTACTCAATTTCCATAGAAAAGCTGAGTGGGGATAAATGTTACACAAGAAGAACCACTCATGACACAAAAAGTGCCACAGCTGATGATGTGACAAGGGACCTAAATAACCACAATTCTCACTTCAGTTGCCACCGAAATACTGTCATGTAGTCACATTACGCCCCTAGCTTCTTAATCCACTTTAGCTAACAAGTTCACCAGACCAAGTATACTATCTGCAACTCTTACTAAAATCTATGTATCACTCATATATCCCATCCGATACACTGTGCTGAATTTAGCGCGAACAAAGTTTTTCTTGATGAATGCCATTTAATTTATTAAACTAATGGAATTTAGAGAATTTCAAGTTTTTTCTTATAGCCTGAGTTGTTAAATTTGGAGTGAAATTTTACATTCCATCTCAGTAATTGTTATTATTCTAGGGTTGGTGGTTTTTCTTTTTTTTTTTTTTTTTCTTATTTTTTGCATTTTTTAAAAACACAACCTTCTCCCTATCCCTTCCATCTGTGATTGCTGGAGATGCTGCAGCCACTTTGCTCAGACACACATAAAGGGGCTGTCTGAAAACAGACTTACATGAAGAAAGCTAAATTGAGAGATTGAATGAGAGAAAATGGAATCTGTTAACATCTTTGAGCCCCAAGAGCAAGCTATTCCTGAACAATATCTTGTTTTTCCCAGTTACATGAGTCAATACATTTCCTTTAGGCTTTAGCCATTTTAAATTAGATTTTCATTCACTTAGAAGTTTTAACTAACAAAGAAAAAAAAACGGAGATTATGTGACAAGTACTGTCGCTACCATAATTCATTTTCATTTAAAAAAAAACACTAGATACAAATTTATGAATGAACCCAAGAAAGTGAAACTTTTGAACATCATGTTTATGACATGTCAAATTTATAACAGAAGTAGGTTAAAACACATTCTTTACAAGGAATTAAAAGAAAAGGAGGAGGGGGACATCATTTAACTACGTTTTTAATTGACAGTTCTTCATAAGAGCAGGAAAGGGAAGCTTAGTAAAGAATCTTTAGTCACAAAAGCAAGAAAAGGAGGAGCACTGCAACATCTACAGGAAAACTAATTTTTCTGAAAGACACAATGTTCTAAGTGCAAACCTGGAACATACCTGCCAGACCAAATCAGGATCAAAATTAAAACTTGGAGCTTCCTGCAAGAAGATAAATCACAAATAACTTCATTTACTTTGCTTCCTTTAATATTTATTCAGGTGACTTTAGCCCCCCTGACTGAACTGGCTGACAGTAGGTGTGATGGCTACAAGAGAACTGCCCCCACTTCAGTGTATGCAGACGGCCCTCCCCCACAGAGACGTATTTTCACAACTCTAAAAGCCCAGAGATGTACATAGACATCTACTAGAACTACCAGACTGTGTCTCTAAAAGAACTCTAATTGGGGCAAGATTGCACAGATTTTCATAACAACTTTCTGAGTTGATGCAAGGTATATTTTTGGAGAAGATGAGGACTCATAATTTCACCCTCAGTTTCTTTAAGAAGTAAGAGAAAAGTAGGGGTAGCTTCTAAATTCATGTCACCTCCCCGAAACTAAATATCCAGCTGACTCCAGGAAAGCTCCTTTTAACTTCAGATTTTGTCAAGGTAGTATATGACACCTTTATCCAAAGGTGTTAAAATTAAAATACAACCATGTCTCAAGTTACACCTATTAGTTTTAAGGGTTAGTTCTATTTGGTAGTCAACCCTAATGCTTATAAAATATGGGTTTCCAATATTCCCTCCCATTTCACAGGAACATAATATACAAAATCAGAAGAGATCACAGCCTCCATCACAACCTTACACACATGACTGAGGAGATGAACTTCTACCAGCTGCCCCCATAACTCAATTTATGCACGCTGAGTATAGATGCTAATGGGACCCAGACTTGTCCACTGACAAAACAGAAGGCAGTGCTTTGTAAATTAACAGGCATCCAAAGACAACAGAAGAACTCCAGGCTCAGTTCCCTGACAGTATACTGATTATCAATTGTCCTGAAAATGTGTTCTTCTACCAATCAGCAGCACTGGCATCCATTTAAATAAAAACAAAACTCCAGACTCAATTTACTGATAACATATGGAGTGAACTTGCCCTAATAATTATATTTTATAATTTAAAACATATTTTATATGGCCTTATGTAGATAGCCCAAAGGAGTGTTTTTAATTAACTATTAAATAGAAATAGCTATGACTATTTTTTGTTTTCTAATAAAACATATGATAGAAAAAAAATAAAATAAAACATATGATGCTAAAAAGAGTAAGCTATAGGCAAACAGACTTCACACTTAAAATCACAAAAAAGCACTAATAGTCAGACTATTAGTCTGTACAGTGATTTAACAGAAAATGACCACTACTCTGAGAGAGATGCCACTCCTGGTTTCTCTGAAGAGTTCTGAAACACAATCTTTCCTTAAGAAAAAAAAAAAAGGAATGCTTTGGAAATAGTTTTATATACATCCTCTTCTATTATTAATTGTGTTGGAACTGGGGAGGTAGGTTTGGAGGTAGGTAGAAAGGCGACTGAATGACTCTTCACAGAAAACTGAAATAAAATCTTTTGTCTTGTCTTTTTCCTTTTCTATTCTTTTGTGTGTGTGTGTGTGTTTTTAAGCCTTAGCCAAGTTTCAAGTTTGGTTCCAATGTGAAGTGAGGAAGAAATCTCTGTTACAAGATTCTACACTTCCCTAGAAGTGTAGAATAGGAAGCTTATTTACAAAATAAGTCAAAATTATGCAAATCCAAAAAGAATCAATGAGTCAAGATTAGCAATTATTTTTTAACCTTACTGGCATTTGATCCCTTTGATAATATTTTTCAAATCAATTTGCTACAAATGTATTTATAAGTACCATGAATCATGTAACCTCATTCAGGAGACATAAAGTCTTAAAGTAAAAGTTCTACGTTATTTCAAAAAAAAAAAAAATCCACTTGGATGAAGACATTGTCATTGACAAGGGAAAAAACAAAACAAAACGCAGGTTAGACTTGAAATGCCAGGAACTCAGTAGCTTGCATTAGTTTCCTCCCCCACGGACCTGGGAAGTTTTTGGCAGACATTTCAAAATAATGTGTTCTGAGACAGAAAAATCATTACCCTATCAGCAAGCTTTAGAATTCTTTTGTAGAAAGATGGTGGCCAGCAAACTCTCAAATGTTATACTTAGGCATGAAATACCGAAATTGCAAACATCATCATTATGAATTTTTTTCTTCACGGAAGTAAAAATCAATAATTATTTATTCTTACAAGAAATACTCTACTATTTGCTTCCTTTTGGCAAAAACTGAAAGTAAAAGACTTCAAATCTTTATAAACTGACAGAGCAACTGGGTTTCATAGATTGGTTTCTTAATGGCTCAGTCATCATTATATACTACATTATTCTTTAGATGTCCTAAATCCATCCAGGAGGATCTTAGCTTCTTTTAAATATCTCTATGCTCCCCCAGTTAAATAGAGTACTTTGTATTTGATAAATTATTATTAATTTCAGACTTAGGAGAAAATACTGAAGTCATAAGAAAGTTATTATTCTTTGAAAAGTAAATTTTGCTGATAGCATAATTTTAATTATTTAACACCTCCACTGCACAAAAAACAACTTATCTTTGCCAAATCTTAGTTTCTCAAGGTGTCTTTTCATTGTCATGTGAATGGAAAGAAGAAAAAAGAATTATTCTAGCTTTAGAAATTTACTTTTAAAGCACACACAAAACCTCCCTTAGGATTGAAAGCACTGGCTACGCTTTGGAAATGAAGCCAGCTCCTTTCTGCCAAAGGATACTTGAGCCCTTTATTCTTTTGCCCTGAAAAAGCATCCTCATTAAAGGGCCAATAAATTAAATATACCCAAGAAGGCAAAAAAGAAAAAAGAAATCCAGAAGAAAAAGCACCCATTAGGGTGCCTAAGGAAAAACACAACCGTACATTTCATGTGTTTGTGTTAGTCACCATCAAGTTTAGAACAAACTCCAGGGAAACAGCTGTTTTTGAAAAATGTGAATAGCTCCTACCTTCATTTCAATGACAGTCTGGAGAGCCTTCGTCTTGGCTGGCTCCGGCTGAAGTTGGCTTCTTCGGTGTAATTCCTGGGGAGGAACACGGTAGAAATAAGCCTGACGGTTCATCCTTCCGTTACACCATGACTTTTGCACAGGTACCACTCAGCCTACCCGGTCCATGCTCGCAGTATACAGACATAAACAAGCCACAGGTGCCTCTTCCCCCACCCTCGTTAGCATCCCTGCTGCCTGGAGCATGCGATCCGGTGAAAAGCTCCTGGCACATGCGCTATTTCTGAAACTTCCATCAATAATTAATGTCAACTGTGACAAAGCCAGCAAGTAATCATAATCCAAATACTGTTCAACACTGGGGCTGTTGCCCAGCCATCAAATCATAATTTACTAAATTACATTACTCTGTGCTCCCAATACAAACACAGCAAGGAAACAGAGGAAAGAAAATGACTAACGTGGTTGCAAATCTGCTGCACGCATGGTATTTTGCTACTGAAGTAGGTTTGAAATGAGCAATTTAAAACATTTTCAGTACAACTGTGTCACTTTTTGCAGTGAATTGGTCTGATGAAACCCTGTGGATCTCTTGCTTCCTAATTTACAGTTTCAGTCCTTGTTCAAAACCACATCTGTGTGTGATATGTTTGTGCATTCATGATGCCAAGAAATTAAAACTGGCATTAATATCAACAGGGTTAGAAGGGAGAAAAAATGGTTAAAGCCAGATATAGACTTAAGAAATTCTTTATAGATAAAAAGCAAAAAAATGTAATTACAATTTTAAGCTTCAAGACTTACTTTTTGTATGTCTCCAAAAAAAAGTCTATCAAAACTGAAAGATAGCCTTGGCAGAAGAGAAGAGATAAAGTTGTTCAGTTAATACTTTATTTTTCTTAATGATAATTACCAACAGTTTTATGAAAGTAGCCAATGACAGGAATAAACAAAAATGCTTACACATGTCAAAATTGCTGGTACAGTTACTCACCTATGGAATAATTACATTAAGACTTATTTTGAATTATAAGACACCAATGGATAATGCTATAAGATTTATTTGCTTCCAGAAAAGTAATTTAACGTCAACATGGAGTAGTGCTAAATCTTTACATTCCCTGGGTTGGGAAGATCCCTTGGAGAAGGGAACAGCTATCCACTCCAGTATTCTGGCCTGGGGAATTCCATGGGCCATCCATGGGGTCACAAAGAGTCAGACATGACTGAGCAACTTTACACTCCACTGGACCACAAACATTTTTTTAAAAAAGGAAAAGAAAAACTTTGAGTGTTAAAGAAGAGGACCAATATAATATCTGGCTTTATCCAAGTAAAGACATTAAAAATAACCCTACCTCCACCATTACTAACATCTATTATCATCACCATTTCATTAAGAAAGAACATTTCATCAAGAAAGAAATTTTTCAGAACAGAGTCACAGAGAAAAAGATGGTCCTTTCCTGGATTCCAGGGTTAACAAAACAGGCAACCTTTCACCCATATCCTATTACTTTGTTCTTATTTCCCAGCAGCTCAAGAAGACCATGGTCATGGACCATGGTGCATACGTCTAGGGACCAGTACTGGGGAATAACTGCTACACCTCTGGACTATAGTATATTTTCTTCTCAAAGGCATCACTGGCACAAATCTGCAGAGCTATGCAAAACTACTTCTCAACCTTGATTTTGAGAAGAATTAGAATTGGTGCTCAGGCATTATTCAAAATGGTCTCAACGTCAGTTAGGACATTTTTCCCCCTAAAATATTTCTGTACGGAATGAGTCCAAGTATTACTGAACCCAATTTCAGTATATTATCAGATACATCACATAACGAATTCAGCCTTTAAAAAATAAAAAGTCAACTTAGCCCTCAACATTATTTCCAAGATTGTTGGAGTTCACTGGATCAATAAAATCTTACAGATGAGAAAACAGAAAGTAAGTAACCTGTCAGAACTGTTCCACAGTAAGTCACAGAAGAAATACATTTCATAGGTAGGTCAACAACTCCAATAACATGTGGTATCAAAAGTATCTTAATTTAAAAAACTGAGAATGAAACTCATAATTTCATACTATAGCCAGTAAACTTTCATAATAAAAATTATAAGATAATTTGAGGAGAGAGGTTAAGCTTGTATAAAACAAACAAAAATAATTGTGAAGCAACTAAGCAACACAACAAAAATAAAAACCATTAGGGCAAAAAACATGTGCCGCTAAAATTTCTGCCAAGCATGAAAACATTTTTAAGGGCAAACATGCAATAACAAAGCTAAACTTGTAGCAATAGTTTTGCAAAAATGAAAACAGAGTTCTCTTTGCTATGACTATACAAGTCCTATTATAAACCAGTTCAAAAACCAGCCCCAAATCTGTCACTCCTTAAAAAAATAAAATTTCCAATTACCCAAGAATTGTAATTTTCCTATTTTAAACATATTTCAATCAACTCAGACTTCACAGTTTCTGAGGATCACCTTAATTCTTAAGGTGTCAGGTAAGTGAAGATTATGAGCCACATGAAGACTTTATGTGAAAGTCACTCAGTCGGGTCCAACTCTTTGCGACCCCTTGGAATTCTCCAGGCCAGAATACTGGAGTGGGAAACTTTTCCCTTCTGCAGGGGATCTTTCCAACCCAGGGACCAAACCCAGGTCTCCTGAATTGCAGACAGATTCTTTACCAGTTTATGGATTGCCTAAAAGTCCCATCTCAGCCACTTTATTCATCTCTCAGATTTGGGATCCTTAAAAAGCACACTCTGATTGTAGCAGAAAGGATCAGTTGCCCAATAAAGATCTGTGTTCCTCTTCATTAGCGTGGAGCTATTGTTGGAAATACCACCACCACCACCCTTGTTTCAGGTGAGACCATGTGACTTATTTCTGGCCAGTAGAATATGGGTAAAAATGAGGAACTCAAGGCCTTAAAAATCTCTTACTCTGTCCTCATTTCTCCCTCTTTTTCTGCCTGCTGCTAAAGGAACACAAGAGCCAAGAAGATGGCAGAACCCCAAGATGAAAGGAACCTGGGTTCCTGAAATACCAAGTGAAAAGCCTATTAAACACCCACACTGGATGGTGGTGCACATGAAAAATGAATTTGTATTAAGTTGGTCCCAGAGTTTTCAACCTTTATATGTAGAGATCCCAGCTCTCTATGCTTTAACTACAGCAAAGTGATTTCAACATGTGAGTGCTGGCCAAATTTTTCTAAACTTAGAGTAAGATGAGTTGGTTGCTGGTACTACAACTATCCTTAATCATCTGAAAGATGCACCCATTAGACAATGATTTTAAATAAAACTAAAGAAGTTCCCCAGGAGCATCTGGGTGTAGGGATGAGGGAAAATAAGATTTTACTTACTTTGTAAGTTTTTAAACGACAATATTGAAACATCAAGTTCAGCGGTTCCTATGCTTTTCTGGGTCACTGATTTCTGTAAGAATCAGTTGGAAGCTATGGATTATCCCCAGAAATGGAAACAGAAGCATAAACCAACAAAATGCCATGTCATTTCATCTGGTTCACAGGGCCTGGTCCAGCACCCAAGAAGTTAACCTTTGAGCCATACTACAGGCTAAAAACCACTTAATGAGACAAAAGAGCACTTCATGGAGATGGGCAGTCAGGACCCTGTCCAGTCCTAACCTGAGACTTTGGTCATGTTCCCCTTTCTGATGAGTAAAAGAAGCTTTATGAGTGAGTTTCTATTGGCCTTCCAGATCTGAGAACATCCAGATTTTCAATAGCAGCTGATTCTGAAAAGCTGATCTCTGGTGGATAGTTCTAATCATACCCATTCTCATTTCAAAAACAATAAAAAGAAGAAAATTGGCTATTTCACTGTGACACTGATGCTGAGGTTATTTTCCTATAATATAATGACTAGGATGGCCTTAGCTGGTATAAAGCTGCCAGCTCCTCCAGGTGATCAACATGGAAATATAACAAGAACCGAGAATTTTGAACATGAAACCTCAAGTGGTTCATCAGGATGACATTTCTTGGCAGTTAATGAGAATCTAAAGTCTAGTGAGTTAATCTGGATGGACACTAGCATCCAAGATGAGCCTGACAGGATAACATTTGCACATGTCATATACTTTCTTTGGCAGACAAAAGAAAAAAATTCAAAACTTAACTTTCTATCCAAAAGTAACTTACTATTTATATCTGGCCTTTCCACCTTACCATCCTGGTAATCTACTGCTGTGTAAAAAAATCACCCCAAATTTAGTGGTGTCCAATCACCACCATTTTATTATGCTCATGAATTCTGGGTCAGAAACTCATAACAGGCAGAGCAAGGAAGGCTGGTTTTTAAAGCATGGTATTAGGGTGCTGGAACAGCTGCAGCTGGTGGATCCACTTCCAAGATGGCTTCTTCACCTGTATGCTTTCTTGGCTAGAAAATGACTTGAAGGCCAGGTTTACCTGAAATTCTAAATCTGAGCAACTATATATGGCCTTTCCGTGTGACTTGGACTTCCTCACAGCATGGCAGCCCCAGGGTCCTCCAACCTCTTATACTGAAGTGCAAAGATTCTAAGAAATGAGCCAGAGACTGCATGGCCTTTTATTATCTACCCCCAAAAGTCCCATGAAAGCATTTGCAAGCATGTTCTCAAATTTCAAGTAAGAGTGCAGAAGATTCTGAAGCTGTATCTTTTAATTGCTACTTTTAAGGAATAAAACTAGTTGGAGAAACCAACAGGAAAGAAACTCAATAATCTCAACATCAACTCAGATCAGTCTTAAGATACAGCTGATTCATATATACAAAAAACAATTTGATATAAGGGATATAGATAATATAGCAGTAAACCAAGCAGAAAAACATCCCAGCCCCTCTGTGTCTTTTCACTTCAAATTCCAACAGAAGAGAAGCAAAACAGTTTAAAAAGGTGACCAAAACAGTTTGTCGTAACTGTTTTAAAAATAGGTCACAAAGGTGGAACAGGACCTTTGAGAGGTGAGGGACTCATAGCCATTTTAAATTGGGTGATTAGGGAAAGTTTCAGGAAAAAGTGATATGTGAACAAAAATCTAAAGGAAATG